AGGAAAAGACATACATAGGCTGAAGGTGAAAGGTTGGGAAAAATCATATCACTCATATGGACTTCGGAAAAAAGCAGGAGTGTCCATACTCATATCAAATAAAATAGATTTCAAGCTAAAGTTAATCAAAAGGGATAAAGAGGGACACTACATACTGCTTAAGGGAACCATACACCAACAAGACATAACAATCATAAATATATATGCCCCAAACAATGGCGCAGCTATGTTCATCAAACAAACTCTTCTCAAGTTCAAGAGTCTAATAGACCACCATACAATAATCATGGGAGACTTCAACACACCTCTCTCGCCACTGGACAGATCTTCCAAACAAAAGTTGAATAAGGAAACTATAGAACTCAATAACACTATTAATAACCTAGACTTAATTGACATATATAGAATATACCACCCAACATCAAGCAGTTACACTTTTTTCTCAGCAGCACATGGATCCTTCTCAAAAATAGATCATATATTATGTCACAGGGCAACACTTAGACAATATAAAGGAGTAGAGATAATACCATGCATCTTATCTGACCATAATGGAATGAAACTGAAAATCAACGATAAAAGAAGGAAGGAAAAAGCATACATCACTTGGAGAATGAACAATAGGTTACTGAATGATCAATGGGTTCTAGAAGACATCAAGGAGGAAATTAAAAAATTCTTAGAGATTAATGAAAACACAGACACAACATATCGGAATCTGTGGGACACATTGAAAGCAGTTCTAAGAGGAAAATTCATTGCTTGGAGTTCATTCCTTAAAAAAAGAAAAAACCAACAAATAAATGATCTCATGCTTCATCTCAAAATCCTAGAAAAAGAAGAGCAAAACAACAGCAAAAGAAGTAGAAGGCAAGAAATAATTAAAATCAGAGCTGAAATTAATGAAATCGAAACAAAAGAAACAATTGAAAAAATTGACAAAACTAAAAGTTGGTTCTTTGAAAAAATAAACAAAATCGACAGACCCTTAGCGATGCTAGCGAAGAGAAGAAGAGAGAGAACTCAAATTACTAGCATACGGGATGAAAAAGGCAATATCACAACAGACACTTCAGAAATACAGAAGATAATCAAAAATTATTTTGAATCCTTATACTCCAATAAATTAGAAGATAGTGAAGGCATCGATAAATTTCTGAAGTCATATGATCTGCCCAGATTGAGTCAGGAGGATATAGACAACCTAAACAGACCAATATCAATTGAGGAAATAGAAGAAACCATCAAAAGACTACCAACTAAGAAAAGCCCAGGACCGGATGGGTATACAGCAGAGTTTTACAAAACCTTTAAAGAGGAACTAATACCAATACTTTTCAAGCTACTTCAGGAAATAGAAAAAGAGGGAGAACTTCCAAATTCATTCTACGAGGCCAACATCACCCTGATACCTAAACCAGACAAAGACACTTCAAAGAAAGAAAACTTCAGACCAATATCTCTAATGAACCTAGATGCAAAAATCCTCAATAAAATTCTGGCGAATCGGATACAAAAACATATCAAAAAAATTGTGCACCATGATCAAGTAGGATTCATCCCTGGGATGCAAGGCTGGTTCAATATACGGAAATCAATAAATGTTATTCACCACATCAATAGACTTAAAAATAAGAACCATATGATCATCTCGATAGATGCGGAAAAAGCATTCGACAAAGTACAGCATCCCTTTATGTTCAAAACTCTAGAAAAACTAGGGATAACAGGAACATACCTCAATATTGTAAAAGCAATCTATGCTAAGCCTCAGGCTAGCATCATTCTGAATGGAGAAAAATTGAAGGCATTCCCTCTAAAATCTGGAACAAGACAGGGATGCCCTCTCTCACCACTTCTGTTCAACATAGTTCTCGAAACACTGGCCACAGCAATTAGACAGACGAAAGAAATTAAAGGCATAAAAATAGGAAAAGAAGAACTTAAATTATCACTATTTGCAGATGATATGATTCTACACCTAGCAGACCCAAAAGGCTCTACAAAGAAACTATTAGAGCTAATAAATGAATTCAGCAAAGTGGCAGGATATAAAATCAACACGCATAAATCAAAGGCATTCCTGTATATCAGCGACAAATCCTCTGAAATGGAAATGAGGACAACCACTCCATTCACAATATCTTCAAAAAAAATAAAATACTTGGGAATCAACCTAACAAAAGAGGTGAAAGACTTATACAATGAAAACTACAGAACCCTAAAGAGAGAAATAGAAGAAGATCTTAGAAGATGGAAAAATATACCCTGTTCATGGATAGGCAGAACTAACATCATCAAAATGGCGATATTACCAAAAGTTCTCTATAGGTTTAATGCAATGCCAATCAAAATCCCAACGGCATTTCTTGTAGAAATAGAGAAAGCAATCATGAAATTCATATGGAAAAATAAAAGACCTAGAATAGCAAAAACAATGCTAAGCAGGAAGTGTGAATCAGGCGGTATAGCGATACCAGACTTCAAACTATACTACAGAGCAATAGTAACAAAAACAGCATGGTACTGGTACCAAAACAGGCGGGTGGACCAATGGTACAGAATAGAGGACACAGAAACCAATCCACAAAACTACAACTATCTTATATTTGATAAAGGGGCTAAAAGCATGCAATGGAGGAAGGATAGCATCTTCAACAAATGGTGCTGGGAAAACTGGAAATCCATATGCAACAAAATGAAACTGAATCCCTTTCTCTCGCCATGCACAAAAGTGAATTCAAAATGGATCAAGGAGCTTGATATCAAATCAGAGACACGCCGTCTGATAGAAGAAAAAGTTGGCTACGATCTACAGTCGGTGGGGTCGGGCTCCAAATTCCTCAATAGGACACCCATAGCACAAAAGTTAATAACTAGAATCAACAAATGGGACTTACTCAAACTAAAAAGTTTTTTCTCAGCTAAAGAAACAATAAGAGAGGTAAATAGAGAGCCTACATCCTGGGAACAAATCTTTACTCCTCACACTTCAGACAGAGCCCTAATATCCAGAGTATACAAAGAACTCCAAAAATTAGACAATAAGATAACTAACAACCCAATCAACAAATGGGCCAAGGACCTGAACAGACACTTCTCAGAGGAGGACATACAATCAATCAACAAGTACATGAAAAAATGCTCAACATCTCTAGCAGTCAGAGAAATGCAAATCAAAACCACCCTAAGATACCATCTCACTCCAGTAAGATTAGCAGCCATCATGAAGTCAAACAACAACAAGTGCTGGCGAGGATGTGGGGAAAAGGGTACACTTGTACATTGCTGGTGGGACTGCAAATTGGTGCAGCCAATTTGGAAAGCAGTATGGAGATTTCTTGGAAAGCTGGGAATGGAGCCACCATTTGACCCAGCTATTCCCCTTCTTGGTCTATTCCCTAAAGACCTAAAAAGAGCATGCTACAGGGACACTGCTACATCGATGTTCATAGCAGCTCAATTCACAATAGCAAGACTTTGGAACCAACCCAGATGCCCTTCAATAGACGAATGGATTAAAAAAATGTGGCATTTATACACAATGGAGTATTACTCTGCATTAAAAAATGACAAAATCATAGAATTTGCAGGGAAATGGATGGCACTAGAGCAGATTATGCTAAGTGAAGCTAGCCAATCCCTAAAAAGCAAATGCCAAATGTCTCCTTTGATATAAGGAGAGTAACTAAGAACAGAGTAGGGACGAAGAGCATGAGAAGAAGATTAACATTAAACAGAGATGAGAGGTGGGAGGGAAAGGGAGAGAAAAGGGAAATTGCATGGAAATGGAAGGAGACCCTCAGGGTTATACAAAAGAACATACAAGAGGAAATGAGGGGAAAGGGAAAAATAATACAAGGGGGAGAAATGAAGGTCAATAGGGGGGGTAGAGAGAGAAGAAGGGTGGGGAGGGGAGGGGAGGGGGGATAGTAGAGGATAGGAAAGGTAGCAGAACATGACAGTCACAAGTATGGCAATATGTAAATCAATGGATGTGTAATTGATGTGATTCTGCAATCTGTATATGGGCTAAAAATGGGAGTTCATAACTCACTTGAAGCAAAGTGTGAAAGATGATATATCAAGAACTATGTAATGTTTTGAACAACCAACAAGAAAAAAAAATAAAATAAAAAAAAAAAAAAAAAAGAATTTCTTCTTTGTTCTCTGTCTTCCTCTATCTTGCTTTGCCCACCAGAGAGTATTGCTTCTGGAGATTTCCCCAGGATCTTTAGTGATCCAGGAAAAGAACGATTTCAACTCAGGGGACCTTGAATATTCCAGAAAGGGCCATCCTGTGTTGTGACTTCTGCTGATAAAGGCAAGGTTCATATTCCCTCACTCTCTGCTGGAGGTGGAGCACCATCTCCTGTATGCAATCCTAGGTGACCAAGCCCTTCTGTCCTCACTCTTGGGGATGAGCTGTTTACAGTATTCCATAACTTTAAAAAAAATGCGATATATATATATATATTTTAAATTTTATTTATTTTTTATTTTTTTGATATCAGTGATTGAATACCTGAGGTGCTTAACCACTGAGCCATGTCTTCAGCCCTTCCCCCGCCTTTTTTAAAAAAAACTATTATTTATTTTTATGTGATGCTAAGGATCAAACCCAGTGCCTCACACGTACAAGGCACGCGCTCTACCACTGAGCTATAACCCCAGCCCCTTTAGCCCTTTTTAATATTTTATTTAGAGACAGGGTCTCACTGGGTTTCTGAGGACCTTGCTAAGTTGCTGAGGGCTGGCTTTGCACTCATGATCCTCTTGCCTCAGCCTTCCTAGCTGCTTGGATAACAGGCGGGTGCTGCCGCGCCTGGCTACTGCCATAATTTTTAAAGTGAAGCACCTTCACCCCCAAGCAGAGACTTCCAGAGGTTAAATGATTTAGTGCCATGGGGTCATTTGCTAAATTCTTCAATTTCATCTTGATTGTGAATAAAGGTAAATTTTGATTCTTTAACTACAAACCCCTTTGTTTCAATTCCCAGCTTGTTCCAGAGGAGGGAAGAGAGAGACATTTATTGGACCCGTTGTAGATTCCAAAAGGCTGAATTTCTGGTTTTCCTGAAGCCCTTTGGAAATGTAACGTAAGTAGCTGATGGAATGCAGAGATTTTATGAGGCAGATTATTTCCTACGGGCTGGCTTCACTCATTTCCTAAACAAATATCTTTTGAACACCTGGTAGGAGCTATGCCTCCACAATGAGCAAGAGAGACACAATTCTGACCATCGGGAAGTCCTAGTGGAGAAAAAAACCAGAAACAAGAGGAAACTGTCATTAATTGTGCTCATTTCTATGATGGAAACAAAGGGCAACAGAGAACAAGAGAGACAGAGGGTGACTGGAGAAGGAATGGATTTGCCTAAAGGAGGGTCTTATTGTTGTACATTCTGTCATTAATTAATGATGTTTGAAGAGAGTTAGTAAACAGAGATCACTTATTCCACGGAATTACAATTTTTAGTCTCCCTCTAATTTGCACAGTTATACTAAGCTTATGACATATTACGGTGCATACATGTATTCAGTCAATGCAGATTTTTATGTCAGGAAATTTGCTAAGGCTATGGGGATGAACAAGACATCCTTGCCGCCCCAGGGAACCAGCTATCCATTTGGGAAAGACAGTGATATAAACAAATGATTATAATCTGATGAGATAAAAGACCCTGAAAAAATAGAGCAGAGAGCGATCAACTGGTGATACAGGAGTTGGGGAATTGGAATGCACCCGAAGCATTTTCCACGGAACAGGAGAGAAATGTGCTAAGGGCAGAGTGTGGCCAGTGTACTGTGGCTCTGGGCAAGCTGGACCATTCAGTCTCCTTCTGAAATAAAAGCTCAGCCTAATTAGAACAAGTTTTCCTCCATGAAGGTGTAATATGTCAAAATATACTCTGCTGTCATGTATATCTAAAAGGAATGAATAAGAAACAATAAAAAATTAAATAAAGGCTCAGTAACCTTGATTTTGCTTTGAAACCCTTCTTAAACTTAATTTATTATTTCCATTTGAAAATAAGCAAACCAACGGTAGACTGAGGCAGACATTATTACCCTATGTACAGGTATGATTACACTACTCGTGTGACTCAGCATCATGTACAGCCAGAGGAATGAGAAGTTATGTTCCATTTGTGAACAATGTGTTAAAATGCATTCTACGATCAGGTATAACTAATCAGAACAAATAATAATAAAAAAAAGGAAAGAAAAGTAAGCAAACCAAAAGTAAGCAAACCTCAGATAGGTTTAATGACTTGTCCAGGTCACCTCAGTGGAAGGAGGGCAGCCAGGTTAGAATGACCGTGAACATAAAATGGATTTAATTGGCATTGATTTCATTGGTATTGACTTATGGGCAAGGCTTGCTTTTCTGCTTTGTGCAGAATTTCTGCTGAATCCCCAGAGAAATACATAAAACCCCACCAGAATTTGCTGGTGGCTGTGGATCTATCTATGCCTCCTAATAAAATGTTTATTTTTTATTTTTTTATGTTTTAATCTTTCAAGCGGAGCAATACATTTCATTTTCGGCTAAAACGACAAAGTTTAAGAATGAAAAGGAGGGAGACTTAAAAACAAGGAAAAAAAAGTCAGTTTAATTATGATTTTGTTTGGTTTGAGAACAAACAATTTCTTGCTTAAGCTTTTGTTGAGCAGAGTAAAAAGGTATTTTCCAAAATATCTCAAATAGTCTTTAGTGAATCCGTCTTGGTGTGTATTTAAGAGGATAATTAGAGAAAATGGGGGGTTTAAAAGTGACTTATGCACTATCTCCACTAATTATTTTTAATAAGGAGTGATTCTGGGTGCAGAGTATGTTTTTTTCCCCCCATTCGCACGTCCAAAGCAGAGGCGTGCTCTCTGTGTGCCGAGGCGTATCAAAGCCTGGCTGAACCTTCCTTAGCAGGTCTGGTGGTTTGATGTTAGTTCAAAGGAAACCTCCAATCCCAATGCCTTTTAAATTTCTTTCTGCAAAATCAATTAAATGGGAAAAGCTTATATAAACCTCTCTCTATCTCTCTGTATGTGAATGATAAACCAAGCTGTTTCTCTCTAAAGTGGTCTTTGGAAATGTGTGTTTTTCTTGTGTGTAGCATACATCTATATGATGTTTCAAATATGATTCAGTCTTGAAAAGATGGATGAAGAGTGTGGTTGGGGGATGCTATTGGATGGCTCAGCTCTCCATGTCTGTGTCTGACCCCACTGTGGGATGTTGAATGCATGAATTCTATGTCTTAATTTATTTTTCCCACTGAAATTTTCTGAAGTACACTAGTAAGCATGTCATCCCCTCTCCTCCACACAAATAAAGAAAACATCTTTCACTTGATCTTTGAGTCCTGCGGGGTCTGGCTCCTTGCTCTTTCCTAGGCCCATCTGTTACCATCGTCACTCTTGTATTTCTTCCACTCTTCCTACCCTTTCTGCACTGTGTAGCACTTGTTACCATTTAGACCTCTGTTCTCATCCCTGCTGTAGGTAAGTCTTCCCTGATGTCTCTGAACAGCTCAAATCTTCTATCATCTGTCCCCATACCACTGTGCACCTTTCTTGGTGGTGCTGTCACCGTCGTTATAGCTTTGCATTTATTTGTGTGAGCAATTAATTAATATCCGTCTCCTGCACTAGATGGTAATTTCCATGAGAGCTGAGACTAGGTCTGTTCTTGCTCATTCTCACATCTCCTGTGCCAAGCCCAGATGTGTTGCAGGTGTTCAGTAGATTTCTTTTGTCTGAATGTGTAAGCGAATAACAAAATCAGTGGGTTTTAGGAAAAATTGGATAGAAGCAGGGTGGTATAGTGGAAACAGCACTGGCCTGGTGTCAAGAGCCCAGCACTCTATGCTTATTAAACCAATAAACTGATTATTGATTTTACCTTCTATTAGTTAAGTACAGTGAACAATTATGTTGGTGAGAAGAATAAGAGGCTGTCTTTGATCTTGAGGGTTTCACAGTCCTCAAGGAAATAGACATGTAAATTTGTCCTTAGAATATGTTTGGTCGGTACCATGATGGAAGCAAAAACGTCCTGGTGTGTGTGTGTGTGTGTGTGTGTGTGTGTGTGTGTGTATGTGTGCGCACGTGCATGGGTGCGCATGCATAAACAGTAGCATTAACATTGGCTTGGGGAGTTTGGTCAGGCGTCACGGAGGAAGCTCCTTCCATTTTGGTCAGGATGGTCAGGATGCCTTCCTGAGCTACACAAGCTGGAAAGTAGCACACCCCATTTCCCAGACTCCCTCGCAGCTAGGTTTCCAAATGCCATTTAGGTTTCTCCATCTAGATCCGACAGCTCATGATATGGAAGATGGGCATAGGTAGAAGCATCTCCCTGCCTCCTTGGCTGTTTGTGCCAGTAAGTCCAGTCACAGAGAGCTTTCCCCACTCTGCAGCAGTGTTCTGGTGCTTCCTGTCTGGTTCTGAGGGTGGTGGCAGGCAGTCGCAGCTGTGATAACTTCCCTATCCTTGTTCTACACGGTTAGTGGTATATGTCTTTGCATTCCACTGTTTTAGGGGTGGCCTTCTGACTGTCATCATTTGTGGAGGCTCAGCCTACACCCTATTCTTCCAGCCTTTGAAGAATCTTGTATGAGTCAATTTCCCTGGATTAAATCCCTTTGAATTAAAATAACTGGAATTGTGGCTTCTGTTTCCTTCCACTGAACCCTGACACATAAAAGGCTAGTGTGCTGTACCAATGAGGCAGTCGGTACAGGACTTTTCATTCATTGATTTATTCTACAAATACTTTCTGGGCATCTACTATGACCAGAAATTGATTACATAGTAGACTACGCTGGGCACTTGAGGATACAATGCTATATAAGAGTATACAGGGGAGGAGATAAAAATAATTAAAAACATTTACGGTAATTACATGTGGTGATAAATGAAGGAAATATAAAAGAAGTTGAGGCAGAGGATAATTGAGTGGGAGGAGAAGAATTTGAGCAGGTGGAAAAGTTGTGTCTGAAGAGGTGACAGTTGAAGAAGCAATCATGTGAACTGTGTGTGTGTGTGTGTGTCCATATGTAGAGTGGCAAGACCATTGTGGGCAAATGAACAGCACAGGCAGAGGGTCAAGGCTATGTTGTATGAATGTGGTATTGCTGGATCAAACAGGAAAACTTTCTAAACTGGCTGGGTAAGCTCAAGGTGACATTGTAAAGCTGGTGATTTGTTGCTAGCATCTCTTGTTGGCTTTTCAGGCTCATTCTCTTATCCAAATAGCTCCTTGCTCAACACTTCAGAAAACTTCTGCTGCCTATTCAATCAACTCATTCATGCAACAAATATTGAGCCCTTGCCACATCTCAGGGCAGTGATGACATTGAGGATAGATGTGAACATAAATTAAGACATGGTATCTGCCCTTGAAGAGCTCACAGGCTCCATCTGGGCCTCTCATACTCCAGGCATTAAAAACATTATGTCCATTCTGTTCTCATTCAAATACATAATATATTGGCCCCACCTTCAGAACTCAGCTGACCTGCTGACCCAGTTCCTAGAAATATGCTAATGATTTAATGATGTGCTCTACCTTCTTAGTGTGTGAGTTGTCAACATTCAGGTTTTGTTGGCATTCAGGAGGACTTTACTACAGTCCAGGATCTAGTCCTCAGCTTTGCAAACTCAGAAACCTGGTTGGCCAAGGGCACCTGAGTGTTGATTCATCTTTCTGGGATTGGCACTCAGAAAGAGAGTAATGAATAAAACCAGAAAATCATCTTCTTCATCTCCATTGAGAACTGTAAACGTCAAGGGAACTGGCCACTGGACTCTGAGCATATCCTGACCCAGATTATTCTTTCCCTGAAGGCATAACAACTTAGGAAAGCAAATCGGAGTTTGCTTGGTACACATGGATTCAGTGCTCAGGTGGTGAGTATTAAATGATATGGGTTCTGCTTTGTGTTCTTCCCCATTAAAGAAACACCTGCCATAGGGCTCCCTGGGCTGTGTCCACATCTGGATCCATGGCTTTCTTTTCTCCATACTTCTGTGGTTGATCCATCCCACTTCTGATTAATAGCTCTTTGGACGTGTAAACAAAGGGATGGCAAATATA